TTTTACTTAGAAAATATATAGCTAAAATTAATATATAAGTTTTATTAAAAAAATTAAACTTTTTAATAAAAACACAGACAAATTTGCCTGTGTTACAATTTAAGGGATAAGGCAAGTTTATTGATTTACCAATAGACTATCAATATTCTGATGTATATTGAATGCCTATATGAACCCGACTTGTATCGTAAAGGTCCCCTATTTCTGCCAAATATCTGTTTTCAAATCAGGCTAGTTGGAGCCCAATTTACCTTTATTTGACCTGTGAAATTAAGAGTTAATCAGCTAAACCAGTTCCCAAATCACGAATATATTTTCTATTCTTCAAACCAATTCATTGTTTGTCGAATGAAAATAAATAGAGCACCAATTGGCACATGTAATTCCAAAATGAAACTGATTTAAAAAAAATATTTGATACAAATAGAAGACTTTTAAGATACAAATCAGGATCATATATGCGTTCAATACATATCAGAATGCCGATAGCTTTATAGGTAAATCGATAAAGCTTTTTTGATTTATCTATAGAGCTATCGGCATTTTGATATGTATTAAACGTATAGCCAATAGCTCTATAGATAAATTGATAAAGCTTTGTTGATTTACCTATAGAGCTATTGGCATTCCAATGTATTGAGCACCTATATGAACCTGATTTTGTATCTTAAAGATCTCCTATTTGCGCCAAATATTCGTTTCACATCGAGTTCATATCTGGATTACGTGATGCCGATTGGTGCCCGACTTGCCTTTATTTGATCTATGTAAGTTTGTATTAGAATTACAGTTATGAATTACAGAAAAACTTTTTACAAAACTTACACTCTACTGCAAGACTTTCATTTGGCTATTAGAACTTCTTACATGAATACGCGGTGGTTCGTTATTCTTCAAAGAATAGAAATGAAACTTATACTTTCTCTTGTAGTAAATAATTGGCATGTATTATTTTTTTTTGCCCTACTTTTTATTCTTGATTTTCTTGCGTTTTTTAGTTTTTTTTTTGCCAGTGTTGGCTCGTGGTGCTTCTCGACTAATTCTGTATTTTTTTTCTCCATCTTGTCTCAGCTCGTTTTTTGGTGTGTTTTCGTTTGATTGGTCTTCTTGGTTCTCTATGCTTAAAATTGGGGAAATTTGCAGAGGTTGATAATGATGTATTATTATACTTATATTGGAAGTATAACAGTGAAATACCATAAATTGATAATTCAGTTTCTTCATTTTTCAAATTTTCAAAAAAATGATTCAACGAATTAGTTAATTCTCCAGCAGTTGGTTGGTTTTGAGATTCTGCGACTAAGCATTTATTCATCAAATTCAAAAGTAATTGTGGAGCTTTATATCCAATATCTGGTCTATGACCTAGACAAACTTGAATCGCTAGACTTTCATTATGTGGAATATCGTGATATGGAGGATATCCAGTAAAAACTTCTGATATAATTATTCCGAAAGAATAAATATCAGATTTTTGAGTGTATTCCTTTCCATTTGAATACAATACTTCTGGTACAATATAGGAAAGCACACCAAAAAGTGCTTTAGAACTTGAGTCTTGTAATACTGGCTTACATAAGCCAAAATCGGTAATGTAAAAATTATACATATTTTAATTAACTATATTTCTGGAATGAAAATCTTTACGCACTAATTTGACATTATGAATTGTATTAAGATTAGCTATTTTAGAAGCTCACCATATTTACTATCATACTTCATAACTATTATATAATTACCATCTTTTGGGTTTTTAGTTATTCTATAAATCGCAATTGCTAAATAGCCTCCATGTATATGGTATATATTGATTTTTAACCTAATAAAATATTAATTAGAGTAAGATTACTATCGCTATACTTTAATAAATATTAAATTATAATACTTTACTTCAATTAAAAATTCTCGTTTTATATCTTTAGAATTATCAAGACTTTTTAAATAAATATCTATTTGCGAACTTCTTTTCCACTTATTCATCCAAAATCAAGTCCTATAATATCCATACTGCTTTAAAAAAAGTGCCAAAGCCTCCTTTAGCAAGATGCTTTATATTTGCAAATTTACTAAAGAATATCCATTCAATAATGTCTTTAACCTTCTCTGCATTAAGTTGTATTTGTTGAATTAATTGATCAACGTCGTGGCTGTCGCTTGTCCAATTATGAAATTCTTTTTTAAACCTTAATATTAAAAAAAATAATTATTAACAATCATGAATTCTATTGTGATTAGTAATACGACCCAAATTATTTGAGATGTCTCAAACTATATAAAATTATTAGTTTTGGCTGTCTTTATTCTTATTGCCGAAATTATGTAATACTTATTATCATATAGTTTAGAACATTCCAAATAGTTTGGGTCACATCACTAATTGTGATGAAAAAATTTGTCATGAGACTTATATGATATTATGACACATAGTATGTGGGTTAAAGTAAGTAGGTTGTGTTGGAATTACAGTCGCGAATTCTGTTACAGTAACACATCGTAGGTAGTCAAGTTAGTCTTTTGTCAGGATTTGATGCAAATCTTTTTGTTACTAAATCTGATATCATAGCAAAACTGTTTGTTACAAAATTTGCATATAGTATGCATTAAGGGTGGAGTTAGTTTGTACTGAGCTAATAGTCAAGAATTTTATTATAAAAAATTTTGGTATGAAGCTTACTTGATGTTATTTTAATAACATGTAATTAAGGTTATCCCTTAAGTTGTAGAGTTCGTGTAACAATTTTAGCTTAAAAATAGCATAAATTTAGTTATGATCTATTTTTT